AGTGAGCCAGGATCGCGCCACTGCACTCCAGCTTGGGCGACAGAGCGAGACTCCGTCTCAAAAAAATAAAAATAAAAATAAAAAAAGAATCAAGTCATACACTTAAGCTTGATATATTTCACCAAATGTAAATTATGCTTCAAGAAACAAAACCCTTCCATGCATGAAATACCTAGGGTGACATCTGTTTCCTGCACTGAATACCTGATTTTGGGAGAGGAGCCCTAGAACGAGAGACAGGAAGAGTGGCTGAGAGCAAGCAGGGCACCAGCAATATGGCAAGAAGCTGGGAGCGTGGAAGGACATGACCAGGGAGAAATCTCCAGTGTTGGGAGAGGCCTGTGAATTTTAGGAACTCTGATATCTAACTCTCAAGGCATGTCCTTGCCAAGCAGCAATACAATTAAGCGTGCCTAATCTTATGGCTCCCGCACTTTTAATTGTTCTTCCTGAAAGAATTCGATATGAAGCTGCTAGAGCCCAGAGGGGAGTAGGCAGGCTTGATTCTTGAACTAATCAACATTTATGCCCTCTTGGCTTAACTAGGCAGAATTGGTTTTATTACAGTTGAGGTGTGATTATGCACACTGTATTGTGTCAGTGGCAGGCGATCAGCCACACAGTGTCCTGAGGTCTGATGAGAGGGCTATGTCATCCACAGTCCCAGAGGAGGAGCTGGCTGTAGCAGGGACTGACCCAGGAGCCGAAGTGAGCCAAGCCCCCTCCTCCTGAGACCCCTGAGAGGTAAGGCAGTCTCATGCCAGACCCTATTTTGTCCCACATCATGGCTGGAACCATCTTACATGGCTGGTCAAGGCAAGGATAATCCCAGGAGGTTAGAGGTCTTGGAGACTGTGTATTGTAGGAAAAAAAAAATACTAGAAAAGACACTGGAACGTCACCAGCAGTCACCCCTGGATGGTGGCATTATGTTTTTTTGTTTTGTTTTGTTTTGTTTTTGAGATGGAGTCTCACTCTGTCCCCCAGGCTGGAGTGCAGTGGCATGATCTTGGCTCACTGTAACCTCCGTCTCCTGGGTTCAGGCAATTTTCCTGCCTCAGCCTCCTGAGTAGCTGAGATTACAGATGTGTGCCACCATGACTGGCTAATTTTTGTAGATGGTGGCATTATGAATATGGATTTTGGTTTTCTTCATCAAATATTTCTGTTTTCCCCATATTAGCTGTAAAAAGTATATTTTTTTGGTAAATTGACAGAATGAAAAAATTAAAATAGTGTAAAGAACAGCTGTTTAAGTGCAGTGGAGTGTGCCTGTGGTCTTAGCTACTTGGGAGACTTAGACGGAAGGATTGCTTGAGCCCAGGAGTTCAAGACCAACCTGAGCAATGTAGTAAGACCCTGTCTCTTTTATTTTAAAAATAAATAAATAAAGAATAACTTTAAAATATTATTCAAAATGAAGTCATAAAGGAGGGGATTATGTTTTTTAGTCTTAGCTCCCTTAAGGACTCAGACCAGAGAAGGTGGCCGTGTTTGGGGCCCTCTGGCACTATCTTTGGGCCTGACCTCTGCTCTCTAGGGGGAAACATGAGCTGGTGGTTGCTGAGTCATCATGTGTGAGTCACAGCCTCCCTTGGAGGCCTGGAGATGGGCCTATCTGTGGTGAGCTTTACTGGGCAGGGGGGCAGCTCCAAGGCCCTCACTGGGGGGCAGCCTAGGGCATAGATCGCTCTCTGGACTTGCTCTTCTCCTAATAAATGGACAATGATCAATGAATTACACCCATGAAATAGGGTGGAATGCAATAAAAGATAATGTAAATAGCCAGATAGGGTCAAAAGATGATTTATTTTACTTTATATTTTTTAAGTAATTTCAGATTTACAACATAGTTGCAAAAATAATGCAAACATTTACATCTTACATAACCCCCCAATGATCCTAAAACTGACAGATTATTATTATTTTTTGAGACGGAGTCTCTCTCTGTCGCCCAGGCTGGAGTGCAGTGGCCAGATCTCAGCTCACTGCAAGCTCCGCCTCCCGGGTTCACGCCATTCTCCTGCCTCAGCCTCCCGAGTAGCTGGAACTACAGACACCTGCCACCACGCCCGGGTAGGTTTTTGTATTTTTTAGTAGAGACGGGGTTTCATCGTGTTAGCCAGGATGGTCTCGATCTCCTGACCTCGTGATCCGCCCGTCTCGGCCTCCCAAAGTGCTGGGATTACAGGCTTGAGCCACCGCGCCCAGCCTTTTTTTTTGTTTTTAAACGGTGTTTTACTCTAGTTGCCCAAGTTGGAGTGCAATGGCGTGATCTCGGCTCACTGCCACCTCTGCCTCCCGGTTCAAGCAATTCTCCTGCCTCAGACTCCTGAGTAGCTGGGATTGCAGGCACCCGCCACCATGCCCGGCTGATTTTTGTATTTTTAGTAGAGACAGGGTTTCACCATGTTGGCCAGGCTGGTTTCGAACTCCTGACCTCAGGTGATCCACCCATCTCGGCGTCCCAAAGTGCTGGGATTACAGGCATGAGCCACCACGCCCCGCCAGAGAATTGTTAACTGATCCGAAAGCCTTATTTGGATTTCGCCTGATGTCCTTTTTCTGTTTCAGGATCCAGCCCAGGTTCCCATACTGCATTCAGTTGTCATGTCACTACCAAAGTCGTTTTCTCTGGAGCAGTCCCTCAGTCTCCTTGTCTTTCCTGACCTTGAAATTTTTGAAGAGTTATTCTGCAGAGCAGTGCTATCCAATAGAACTTTCAGCAATGATAGAAATACTCTGTTTGGGCCTGGTGCTATAGCTCACACTTGTAATCCCAGAACTTTGGGAGGCCGAGGCGGGCAGATCACCTGAGGTCGGAAGTTCAAGACCAACCTGGCCAACATGGAGAAACCCCATCTCTACTAAAAACACAAAATTAGCTGGGCATGGTGGCGCATGCCTATAATCCCAGCTACTCGGGAGGCTGAGGCAGGAGAATCGCTTGAACCTGGGAGGTGGAGGTTGCCGTGAGCCGAGCTCACGCCGTTGTACTCCAGCCTCAGCAACAACAGCGAAACTCTGTCCCAAAACAAAACAAACAAAAAAATAGAAATGCTCTGTGCCACCCAGTACGAAGCCATTAGCTACATGAAAGTAGCATTTGAAATGTGGCTCGTGGGGCCAGGGCCAGTGGCTCATGCCCGTAATCCCAGCACTTTTGGAGGCCGAGGCGGCCTGATCATGAGATCAGGAGTTCGAGACCAGCCTGGCTGATATGGTGAAACCCCGTCTCTACTAAAAATACAAAAAATTAGCTGGGCGTGGTAACAGGCGCCTGTAGTCCCAGCTACTCGGGAGGCTGAGGTTGGAGAATCACTTGAACCCGGGAGGCAGAGGTTGCAGTGAGCTGAGATTGGGCCACTGCACTCTAGCCTGGGTGAAAAAGTGAGATTCTGTCTCAAAAGAAAAAAAAAAAGAAATGTGGCTCCTGGGTCTCAGGAACTGGCTTCTAAGTATTATTTAATTTTAATTAAAATAGCTACATGTGGCTAGTAGCCGCTGTATTGGACAGGACAGCTGTTAAATGTCCCTCGTTTTGGGTTTGCTTACTGTTTCCCTATGATTAGTTTTAGATCATGAGCTTTTGATCAGAATACCAGAAGCATGTTGTGTTCTTCTTTGTCTAAATTTTTATAAAAATGGTTGACAGGTGGCAGGGAACCACCTAGTCAGGCAGTGGGATTGTTTTAATGCTCTTTGAGGTCCAGCAAAGACAGGAGTGATAGCCGCATTTGGAAGCCCGCACCCACACTTTCAATGTTCTTCCTGAAAGAATTAGATATTGGCCGGGCGTGGTGGCTCAAGCCTGTAGTAATCCCACTTTGGGAGGCCGAGACGGGCGGATCACGAGATCAGGAGATCAAGACCATCCTAGCTAACACGGTGAAACCCTGTCTCTACTAAAAATACAAAAAAAGTAGCCGGGCGTGGTGGTGGGCGCCTGTAGTCCCAGCTATTCGGGGGCGCTGAGGCAGGAGAATGGCGTGAACCCGGCAGGCGGAGCTTGCAGTGAGCTGAGATGGCGCCACTGCACTCCCGCCTGGGAGACAGAAAGAGACCCCGTCGGGGGGTGGGGGGGGAAGTATTAGATATGAAGCTGCTAGAGCCCGGTGGGGAGCAGGCAGGCTTGATTCTTGAACTAATCCACATTTATGCCCTCTTGGCTAAACTAGGCAGAGCTGGTTTTATTACAGTTCAGGTGTGATTAAGCATACTTTGTAAATGCTGAAGGTTGTGAAATATTCACAGGTATATAAAGTACAGTAATAAAATCTCACTTGAGGCCGGGCGTGGTGGCGACAGAGGGAGACTCTGTCTCAAAAAAAAAAAAAAAAAAATAGAAGGCCCCGTGCCTGGAAGGCAGTAAGTGCTCAATAAGTGCTGGCCTCTGCCCCAGAAGAGGAAGGGCGAGGCAGATGGCAGGAACTGCGGGAGGTACCTGTCCTAGGCCCTTGGGCGTAAGAGGCCTCTCCCACGCAGCACCCAACCCATACCCAGCCTGCCAGCCAGCCAACCTCGGCGTCCCTGCCTTGCGCCTACCTGCCTGGCAGTCCCCCGCCCGCTCCCACTCCCACAGGCCCAGCATGCGCGTCTCTAGGCTAGGCATCCTTGCCCCTGTGACTTCAGCGTCACCCAACGTTTATTGGGCACTAACTGTATGCCTGGCCATGGGGATGCAGGGGAAAAAGACACGAAGACCCTCACCCGTCAAAGCTACCGGCGGGAGGAGGGGCTGTTTCACTTGGGAAGCGTGAGGATGGAATTCTCAGCCCCCTGAGGACTTCGAGGCCGGCCGCCTGCCTGGTTTCTGGCCGGACACTGGACTTCCCCTGGAAGTTGCTCGAGACTACGCGCCCTCAGCAGAAAATCAGGTCGGTTCTCGGTGCCCAGCCTAGCGCTTCTCGACCAGCAAACCAAGGCCCAGTGCCCGCCCCCGCCGCGCCGCGGCCTGCACCGCCAGCCAACCACGCGCGGCCGAGTAGCCCTGCCCCTCCACGTGACCAATAGCCGCGCGCCCTGCCCGCCCCGCCCCCTCGCTAAGGGAGGGGTCCTGGGCCCCGGGCGGCTGTCGCCAGGTGTCAGGGTCGGGGCTACTCGAGGTAAGATCGCTGCCCGGGCGATGGGTTCTCTCGGCTCAGCACGCACGGACGCCTTTAGGGAAGGTGGCTGCAGCAGCAGTACCGAGTCCGCCGGGACGCCCTGGGTCTGGGGCCGCGGGGGCCCAGGAGGGGACAGGGCGCGCGGGGCTCCGGAAGAGTCGGCCCTGTGGCGCACGGGGTTCGGGAACATTGAGGGCTCCAGGCGCCGCATCCAGCATCCAGGGAAAAGGGGGTGGGTGGCGCTGGGCGTCTGCTCCGGCTAGGGGAAAAGTAGGGCTAGAAGGGGACGGGCAGCGGCCGCTGACCTCTTCCTGCCGCCCGCGGGCCCAGGGTGACGCTAAGGTGGGGCGGAGCCTCGACTGGTTGCGCCTTGAGGTCGAGTGCTGCTGCCCTCCCCTGGGTCTGGACAGTTCTTGGCGGCGACACCAGCTCAGAACAGCCTCCCCGCCCTCAGCGGACCTGGGTCTCGCCCAGGAATCCAATCCGAGGCTGTGAGGCCTGTGCCTTTGGTGGGGGTGGGTATTTATTTCCGGGATGCACTCAGAGCCTCTGGACAATCAGGTCGGAAACTTTGCTGCATCGGGAACACTCTGTCACCTCCTTCCTTCTCAGATGGGAAGGAGGTGCCAGGAAAACAATGAAACAAACCAAAAACACGAAAAAGGCATTCTCTGTATGGAAGCCGTGAAGCCTCAAAAATATCTAGGAGGACAGTCAGCGACCTGGGGCCTGTGGCAGCCATGTGAGGGCAGGGTTAATGTTTGTACTAAATGTTGCTTCCTCCCAAGTGCACCCTCAGCCTCCCCTCCACCAAGTGACCTTGGGTCCTCTTTGGGCTTGAAGGCAGGTGACTGTGTGGGTCTCTCTTGCTGCAGGGGTCTCTGTGCCCTGCAAGGTTTATGACTGGCTACAGTGAGGCAGCAGTTTCTGGGTTCAAATCCTGTGCTAGCCTTTGGCCAGCTGTGCACCTTGGCATCACTTTCCCTGTCACGGGATTGGGGAAGGTTTAACTGAAAGAACCTTAGGATGTGCCTGTCTGCAGTGCGCCCTCCATAAATGTGAACAAATGTGGGCTTCCTTTCCTCTTGGTTGGGCCACATCGTCCCTTCTCCTCCATCTGTGGCTTAGGCTGAAATGCAGAAGAGTGCTTCATCTGACTGCCTCCTGGTACCTGGCTGATGCCATGGGAAAGGAAGGAGAAAGGAGTCTTTTTTTTTTTTTTTTTTTGAAATGGAGTCTCACTCTCTTGCCCAGGCTGGAGCGCAGCGGCCCAATCTGGGCTCACTGCAACCTCCGCCTCCTGGGTTTAGAGATTCTCATGCCTTAGCTTCCCAAGTAGCAGGGATTACAGGTGTCTGATACCATGCCTGGCTAATTTTTGCATTTTTAGTAGAGACTGGGTTTCACCACGTTGGCCAGGCTGGTCTCAAACTCCTGATCTCAAGTGATCTGCCCGCCTTGGCCTTCCAAAGTGCTGGAATTGCAGGCATGAGCCACCATGCCTGGCCGAGAAAGGAGTCTGTTAACTCCCACAGAGCTGTTCTTTGCTTATTTCTTCAAGGCTCAGAGGACCCCCACCTCACCTTCCTGTCTCTCCCGACCTGTCATTAGTATTTGCCCCAGGAGGAATGCAGCAGCACCTGGTGGTTGGCAAAGCAAGTCGTGCATGTGAGGTTCTGAGGCCAGTGACAAGACTGTTTCCCCTGTGAGGAGGGTCTGGTGGCCCAGCAGCTTTTAGATGCTGTCTGCTCTGCAGCACTGCCTCCTGAGAGAGGTTTCATGCCTGCCTGATGCCCATTTGGTCCTCTCCTGTCTCCTTCCCTCCCTGACAACCCACTTGGAATCCAATAGCATCTCAAGCTTCACTTGTTCAGAACCGAGTTCTGGAGTTCCTTCTGAGCCACTGCTCCTCCCTTGGCTTCTCTGGCCTGGTAAAAGGGCACCTTCCATCCATCCAGTGCCCAAGGAGTCATCCTTCTTTTCTCTCCCTTATCTCCTACACCCTCAAAACACCAGGAATCTGGCTGCCTCCTTCCATCTCTGTGGTTCCCATCCTGACCATAATCATCCTGTCTCCTGGGCTGTGGCCTCCTGACTGGTCTCCCAGTTTTCATCCTGGCCCCTCCAAAGTCCTCACAACCACCAGAGAAGTCTTTAACGCAAATCAGATCCTCTTCTTTCCCTGCCAGAACCTTCCAGTGGTTCCCTGTTTCACGCCAACTAAAACCCAGAGTCCTTTCCTATAGCACTCTACATGAGTGGCCCCTGCCACCTCCTTGACCTTGACAATCTCTGCCCCTTTCCCTAGCTTGCTTGCTTGCTTTTTTTTTTTGATGGAGTTTTGCTCTTGTCGCCCAGGCTGGAGTGCAATGGGCACGATTTCGGCTCACTGCAACCTCTGCCTCCTGGGTTCAAGCAGTTCTCCTGCCTCAGCCTCCCGAGTAGCTGGGATTACAGGCACCCACCACCATGCTAATTTTTGTATTTTTAGTAAAGAAAGGGCTTCACCATGTTGGCGAGGCTGGTCTCGAACTCCTGAGCTCAGGTGATCCACCCATCTAGGCCTCGCAAAGTGCTGAGATTACAGGCGTGAGCCACTGCACCCAGCCATCCCTAGCTTTCTTAACCTAGACCACACTGACCTGCTTTCTGTTCTTCAAACATGCCAAGCTCATTCCCATTTTAGGATTTTTGCATTTACCATGCCCTTTGCCTAAAGCACCAATCTTCTCAGAGCCTGAGAATGGCTCAACTGTGTTCTGAATGCTAGTTCAGAAAGGCTTCTTTGACCCCCTAGTTCAAGTAGCATGCCTGTCTCCAGGGGCCTGTCTCATCACCTGCTTTATTTTCTTTAGAACCTTTATTGCTATCTGGAATTCTTATTTGGGTGTTAATTTACTGATCTGTTATTTGTCCCAGCCTATTAGAATATAAATTGGATGTGGCATAGACCTTGTCTCTTTTATTCCCTGCAACACTCCCTGATGGGGGAGGCAAAAAAATAACAAGCAAATACATCTATAATTGCAAATTGTGGTAACTCCTACATAAACAACTGGCAGCAATTGCTTATATTTGAGGCACTTAAAAATTTTTAAGCTGCTAGGCGCGGTGGCTCATGCCTATAATCTCAGCACTTTGGGAGGCCGAGGTGAGCGGATCACCTGAGGTGGGGAGTTTGAGACCAGCCTGAACAACATGGTGAAACCCTGTCTCTACTAAAAATACAAAATTAGCTGGGTATGATGGTGCATGCCTGGAGGCTGAGGCAGGAGAACCACTTGAACCTGGGAGGCGGAGGTTGCAGTGAGCTGAGATCGCACCATTGCACTCCAGCCTCGGAAACAAGAGTGAAACTCCATCTCAAAAAAAAAAAAAAGAAAAGAAAAAAAAATTAAGCTTCCACAGTGGCTCAGCAATGTGGGAGGCCAAGGCAAGAGGATCACTTGAGGTCAGGAGTTTGAGACCAGCCTGGCCAACGTTGGTGAAACCCTGTCTCTATTAAAAAATACAAAAATTGGCCAGGCGCGTTGGCTTGCGCCTGTAATCCTAGCACCTTGGGAGACCAAGGCGGGCAGATCACCTGAGGTCAGGAGTTCAGGACCGGCCTGGCCAACATTAAAACATACAAAACCCCGTCTCTACTAAAAATATAAAAATTATCCAGGCATGGTGGCGTGTACCCATAATCCCAGCTACTCGGGAGGCTGAGGTAGGAGAATTGCTTGAACCCGAGAAGCAGAGGTTGCAGTGAGCCGAGATTATGCCACTGCACTCCAGCCTGGGCAACAGAGCGAGACTCTGTCTCAAAAACAACAACAACAAACAAACAAACAAACAAATTAGCCAGGCATGATGGTGGGTGCGTGTAATCCCAGCTACTCTGGAGGCTGAGGCAGGAGAATTGCTTGAAAATGGGCGATGGAGGCTGCAGTGAGCTGAGATCACACCACTGCACTCCAGCCTGGGCGACAGGGAGACTCTGTCTCAAAAAAAAAAAAAAAAAAAAAAAAAAAAAAAAAAAAAAAAAAAAAAAAAAAAGAAAGCTTATAAGGCTGAATTACTGTATTGTCAAAACAAGGTATCTGAGCCATTTTAAGGGTGAGGAAGTCTGGAAACTGTTAACTTGCCCAGGACACACAGTGAGTTCAAGGCATGGAACTCAGTCTCCTATCTTAAGAATGTATGTGGGCCAGGCATGGTGGCTCATGCCTGTAATCCCAGCACTTTGGGAGGCCAAAGCAGGCAGATCATCTGAGGTCAGGAGTTTAAGATCAGCGTGACCAACATGGAGAAACCCTGTCTCTACTAAAAACACAAAATTAACCAGGTGTGGTGGTGCATGCCTGTAATTCCAGCTACTCAGGAGGCCGAGGCAGGAGAATCGCTTGAACCCGGAAGGTGGAGGTTGCTGTGAGCCGAGATTGAGCCATTGTACACCAGCCTTGGAAACAAGAGTGGAACTCTGTCTCAAAAAAGAAAAAACAGAATGTATGTGTAGCAGGCTTTAATGGTGGGCCTGCAGCCACGTCATGGAAAGAAGCTGACCTGAAGATCTCAGTTCTTTCCTCTTCTACTAACTAGCAAGCCTACCTCAATTTCTTCTTCAAAGTAGGATGATCCTAGTATTATCATGTTGGGGTTCGCTTTTTATTTTTTCAGTGTGTCCCAAAGCAGCAGCACGTTTAGGTATAGCCCTCTTGCTATCAGCTTGAGGGCCTTAGAGTCAGGACATTTATAGGCACAGAAACTAGGGTCACATACAGATCCTCCACCACATGTGCTAGAGGTACATGCAGACCTCCCCAGTGCTGACCACCCTGCAGGGAAGAAATGAGCCCTAGGTATTCTGGATCTGATTCTTTTTGGTCATTATTTTTTTTTTTTTTTTTTTTCACAAAATAAGCCGGCGTAGTGGCGGTGCCTTGTCTAGTTCCAGGTACTGGGAGGCTTGAGACGGTGGAGAATGGAGTTAACCCGGGAGGCGGAGCTGATGCAGGAAGCCTCATGCCCGCCTTCTGCACTCCAGCCCTGGGTGGACAGAGCAAGGCTCCGTCTCAAAAAAAAAAAAAAAAAAAATGTAGCTGGGCGTGTTGGCGAGGCGCGTGTTATCACCAAGCTCCTTGGGAGGCTTGAGCAGGAGAAGGCGTTGAACCCGGGTAAGCTTGAGCTGCAGGTGGAGCCGCAGATTGCACCACTGCCACCTCCAGGCCTGGGCAACAGTGTGGCAAGGACTGCGTCTCAG